GAGCTTGGACTACTTCATATTTGGTTTGAACCTCCATCAACTAGCACTCCCCTCAGTCTTTTCATAATTCCTCTTAAATTTTTTGTTCTAAAATTAAGTGTACATTAAACTAACTTTTATGATCAATTGGTCAGATGATACAAGAAGTAAATTCCTCAGTTGGGATCAACGCATCAATATCATCGGTGGAATTGCTCGAGGACTTCTTTATCTTCACCAAGATTCTAGACTGAGGATAATCCATAGGGATCTTAAAACCAGCAATGTTTTGCTAGATAAAGATATGAATCCAAAAATATCTGATTTCGGCACGGCTAGAGCATTCGGGGCAGATCAAACTGAGGAAAATACTAATAGAGTGGTTGGAACTTAGTAGGTAGCTCTGAACTTGTCTCGTACATTTCACATTGTTGGTGAACTCGTAACTCCAACTTCATTTTGCAGTGGCTACATGTCTCCTGAGTACGTAGTTGATGGACTCTTCTCAATCAAATCCGATGTCTATAGCTTCGGCGTCATGGTGCTGGAGATAGTGAGTGGGAAGAAGAACAGGGGATTTTATCATCCAGACCACCAGCTTAACCTTCTAGGACATGTAAGCTTTATTAAAGAACAACTTGTTCAAGCTTACTTCATATGTTTTTTTTGACATGGGAAGGAAGGAAGAGCATTATAACATAAATTTGATTCATTTCAGGCATGGACTCTATGGATTGAAGGAAGGCCATTGGAAGTACTGGATGAGGTGTTAGATGGCTCGTGTCCTCTACCGGACGTGTCCCGATGCATTCACATAGCTCTGTTGTGTGTGCAGCAACAACCAGAAGATAGACCAAACATGGCATCGGTGGTGCTGATGTTGGGTGGTGAGGGTTCATTGCCTGCGCCCAAACAACCTGGTTTCTTTACCGACAGGAACCCAGTTGAAGCAGATTCTTCATCCACCAAGCGTGAATCTCACTCAATAAATGATATGAGTGTAACGCTGTTGGAGGCAAGATAGACCATCTTTTCCTCAAATACGATATGGACCTAATAATTGTATACATACTGATTTTTTTTTTTTTTTTTTTTGGAAATTTGCACAAATACGATATGGACCTAATAATTTTTCTTTTTTACAATTTACCACCTATATTTATTCCAAATGTACAGTTGCTGTTGAATTTTATGTTATGGCATGTTTACTAATCCGGAATTGAATTAGGGGGAATTGAATTGAGGATGAATTGAATTGAGGAGGATTTGGATTGAGGAGAATTAGATTCCGGATTCCTAATGAAGTTGTTTACTAAACCATATGGATTGAGGGGAGTTAGATTCCGAATTCCTATTGAAGTTGTTTACTAAACCATATGGAATTGGGGTAGAAGTGGTACTAATTACTAAAATGTCCACATTTTTTGGTTAAAGTAGATGGCATATTTGGAATTTTGAAAATTGTGTGAGGATATAATGGGTAAAAAAGATGAATTCCTAATGGGTGAATTCTCCCGGAATTAGAATACCACCTCCAATTCCGGAATTGAATTCCTCCAAAATCATGAATTCAATTCCTAATTTTATGTGGGCCCCGCTTGCTTTTCAATTCCTTGATGTGAAGTAAACGAAGGAATTCTCCATAGGCGGAATTCAATTCCGGATGAGAATTCCAATTCCTGATTAGTAAACATGCCATAAGTGAAGTCACTTGAATCATGATAAGCAAATGATATTTTCTACAATACTTTATCAAAATAGTGAGCAGAAACAAAATTGCATGTCATTTCATGTGAATGTCATTTTTAGTTTTCAAAGCAAACAAGGGCACATTTGTAACTTACTTTAGAAATTAAAGTACAGATAGTAAAACTTAAGAACTCATATGCGGTGCCCTCGCTTTCTGCAGTTGAGTTAGGTCAATTCCCCAAAATAGAAATTCATTTCTTCTTATTTTCGAGCACTTTTTATTATAGGTATGGTGTATTTCTATGGTACCATTTTAAAATCATCTCTCTAAATAGAACTATTACAAGCAAATCAATAAATTTATTATTTTCATTAAATACTGAAATGGCCACACTATTAATTAAATAGCTAAACTAGTTTTTTATTTTATTAGTTTTTTCAAGAATGATGATTATAAAAATATAAAAAGACTTCCATCAAGAATGATGATTATATTCGTAAATGGGGATAGCAGCCGTCATTTTCTTCCCTTTTCTACCTCTTTAACTCTTTGACTTCTTCCTTTTATCCCCGTTGTTCAATGTCATAATTGCAACCTCTCATTTTTATGAGAAGAATTGCAACGGGATATTTGTTAGTTGGTTTCAGACTATTGAGAATCAGCAAATCTCTTTAGTCACATTTAAGGCAAGCCATAATTGTAGGATGTGCTCTTATGCAATCTTTTCATTATTCTAATTGTAATAAGTTGCAAGACTTTAGGTACAAGTTTAGTTAACTTTACTTGTACAAATTTTCCTTTCCTGTATTTAAGATTTGTATCTGCTTGCTAAAATATTAATGAAAACACAAGAGAAATTTCTCTGCAAGTTCTTCTCTTTTACCAATTTTAACATGGTATCAGAGCATCGATCTTCGATACTCTAAGCCTCATTCCATTCCGCTGCAACACTTACTTTGAAGATGACGGGCATTGACAATATGTCTCAAGATATCAAAGGCAAATCCTTATTTTGCACATACTATGAAGGCAACCACTCCTTGGCACACAATGCGCAAAGTACTCCTTCCAAAAGTGGTGATTCATTCCATGGAATCCCTTAATTCAAAGCACATGAATACCATCAGATCAAGGCTATGTTACGTGATGGTAAATTTCAGTTTTGTGAAAAAGTCAAAGGTACATCCATTTCCAAATGTCGTGTTGCTTCTTTTCATCAAGGTTCTAAGGATTGGATAATCGATAGTGGTGCCACTGACCACATGACATCATCACCTGATCTCTTGCATACATCGGCATCACATCCTTCTTCTGTCAAATTACCAAATGGGTCACGTGTTGATATAATTTCTACTGGTTCCTTGAAAATTAATTTTGACCTTGTTATTAAAGATGTCCTTTCTGTTCCCTCCTTCAATGTCAATTTGCTTTCAGTGAGTAAGATAACTCGTGACCTTCATTGCACTGTCATTTTCCACCCAGGATTTTGTATTCTACAGGACCTGACAACTAAGAAGGTAATTGGCCTAGGGAAGTGCCTGTATTATCTTACCAAGCCCACGGATATCAAGCCGCCACTTGCAGCACATACCACCTCAACCAATTCTGATTTGTGGCACCGTCGTCTTGGGTACCCCTCTGCTGCCCCATTACAATTTCTGTCCAAATCCGTATATGGTATTCCTTTCAATTTAAATTCTCATTGTGAAATCTGTCCAATGGCCAAACAGACTCGACTACCATTTTATTTCTACACTTGCACCCTTTGATTTGATACACTATGATATATGGGGACCTCATCGCATTAATTCACATTCTGGTGCTCATTATTTCTTAACCATCGTGGATGATTTTTCTCGTCACACATGGGTTCATCTTATGCAATTTAAATCTGAAACACAGGGCCTATTAAAATCATTCTTTGCTTTTGTGCGAACACAATTCCAATGTCATGTTAAACAGGTTCGTTCAGACAATGGGAGTGAATTTACTTCCATGCGTCCTTTCTTTAATGATTTGGGCATCATTTTCTAGCACTCTTGTCCTTCTACACCCCAACAAAACGGTGTCGTTACCTCCTTAATGTCGCATGAGCTTTACGTTTTCAAGCACACCTTCCCTAAAAATTTTGGGGGGAAAGCATTCAGACTGCTGCATATATTATCAACCGTTTACCAACCCTTTTGCTTTCCAAAAGAACACCATATGAAATGCTTCATAAACAGGTACCCCAATATCACCACTTACGAGTCTTTGGTTGCTTATGCTATGCCACCAATACCAAACCTTCTTCAAAGTTTGATTCCCGAGCAAGAAAATGCATATTTGTTGGGTATCCATTGGGTCAAAAAGCCTATAAACTATATGACCTTCAAACTAAGACATTCTTCTCTGGCCGAGACGTTGTTTTTCATGAACAAAATTTTCCATTTTCTACCTTGCCTTGTGACACCCAACTTGATCATTTTGAACATCTATGTTTACCTTTGCCTATTCACGATGCCATTACTTCCCACTCTACACCAATACCACCACTAGACACCGCAAGTCCTACACAACCTGAAACACCGCCACCTACACATATTGGCCCACCACATGAAACACCATCACCTCCATACATTGACACACCACCTATTACTCAACTTGAACCAAACATATCACCTCAATCTAACGAATCTGACCAACATGACAAATCCTTATCCAATCCCACTCCTCAAGTTGCACCACGTCATAGCCAAAGAGACCGCCAACTACCATCATGGCTCCAAGATTATCAATGCTCCCAGGTTCGTGTTACTCCCCTTGGCCCATCATCATCTTCACGGTCAAGTACACACCACCCTCTCTCAAATTTTATTTCCTATAATCACTTGTCATCTTCTCACCATTGCTTTCTTAGTAGTCTTTCTACCTCTATCGAACCCACCACATTTGCACAGGCTGATGCTAATCCCAAATGGAAAGAAGCAATGCAAGCAGAGCTTTTGGCTCTTGAGCACAATAATACCTGGACTATGACTCCACTGCCTTTTGGAAAACATGCCATGGTAGTAAATGGATCTATAAGATCAAGTATCATTCAGATGGCACAATTGAACGCTACAAAGCGTGTTTAGTGGCAAAAGGATATACTCAAACAGAAGGCCTCGATTATACGGAGACATTTGCTCCAGTTGCAAAACTTGTCAATGTCAAATGTTTGCTTTCCATTGCCGCTGTTCACGACTGGTCTCTTCACCAACTAGATGTGCAAAATGCTTCCCTCCATGGTGATTTGGATGAGGAAGTTTATATGCTGCCTCCTCCTGGTTTTCGTTGACAGGGGGCGAATATGGTGTGTCGACTCAACAAGTCATTGTATGGCCTCAAGCAGGCATCTCGTAATTGGTTCTCTAAATTTTCTACTGCTATCCAGAGTGCTGGTTATACCCAATCAAAGGCAGATTATTCCTTATTTACTCGTGTATGTGGTGAATCATTTACATCAGTATTGATTTATGTTGATGACATGATAATTACAGGAAATGATGACAAAGCCATAGAAGACCTTAAAAAGTTCCTTCACACCAGCTTTCGAATCAAGGACTTGGGAAATCTCAAGTATTTTCTTGGAGTGGAAGTTGCCTGTTCAAAGAAAGGCATTTCCATTTCTCAACGAAAATACACACTAGATATTCTTGAAGATGCTGGGCTACTTGGTGCAAAACCTGTCAACTTTCCAATGGAACAGAACTTGAAATTGACTCCAACTGATGATGAATTGCTCAAGGATCCTTCACAATATAGGCGGCTTGTTGGGCGTCTTATATACCTTACCATCACAAGGCCAGACATTACCTACTCAGTGCACATTCTTAGTCAATTTATGCAGCAACCAAGGAAGCCGCATCTAGAGGCAGCTCATCTTGTCTTACGTTATTTAAAGAAGGCACCAGGCCAGGGTATTTTGTTTCCCACACAGAGTTCATTACAGCTGAGGGGTTATTGCGACGCTGATTGGGCTGGGTGTCCTACCACAAAAAGGTCAGTCACGAGTTTTTGCATATTCCTTGGTGATGCACCTATATCTTGGAAGAGCAAGAAACAAACCACTGTGTCACATTCATCAGCAAAGGCAGTATAGATCCATGGCCTCAATCACCTGTGAGTTGGTATGGTTGAAATATCTTTTGGAAGACTTGCAAATTAAGCATGAACAACCAGCAACCTTGTTTTGTGATAACCAAGCTGCCTTACACATAGCGGCAAATCCCGTATTCCATGAGCGTACAAAACATATTGAGTTAGATTGCCATGTAGTGTGTGAAAGGATCCAATCAGGTCTTATTGCAACTACTCATGTACCTTCTGCCCATCAAATTGCCGATATATTCACAAAACCTCTTGGGAGTGCACTGTTCCATCACCATCTACGCAAGTTAGGAGCTTTGGATATCCATGCTCCAACTTGAGGGGGCATATTGAGAATCAGCAAATCTCTTTAGTCACATTTAAGGCAAGCCATAATTGTAGGATATGCTCTTATGCAATTTTTCCATTATTCTGATTGTAATCAGTTGCAAGACTTTAGGCACAAGTTTAGTTAACTTTACTTGTACAGCTTTTCCTTTCTTGTATTTAAGATTTGTATCTGCTTGATAAAATATTAATGTAAACACGAGAAATTTCTCTGCAAGTTCTTCTCTTTTACCAATTTTAACACAGACCATAGTGGAAATGCAGATTACAGTGATGATATTTGGACGCGGCAGATGAAAACAACAATGCCGCCACTCTTTCTGTCTCAGAGCCAAAAGTTAAGTACCCAAAACCCAATTCTCTTCTTTGAATTCTCTTTTGAAATTTCAAAGTCGAACGAACTAAAGACAAAGATTCTGAGCGAAAAAGCTGAAAATTCTTTTAGCTAAGGCAGAAGCAATGTGAAGTCTTGGGTTGATTTTCGTCTGGTCTGAACTGATAATGACTGGGATTTCTGTACACAAGAAATTTTGTACAAGAAGGAACCCAGCAGTAAAAGAATGGAAAAATTTTGGTCCAATTGATGACAGGTAGGGCCTCACCATTGATGGACTGACTCATGTAGCAAACTCGTGCGTGAATTAACAGTAGTACTATGTTGATGAAGAAGAAGGCAAAGAAAAATCTAATCTTGATTTGTGAAAACCAACCCATTTCACAATTTTCACAATTATTTGACGTTTGGATGAGCCTGGTTATAATCTTCTCAATTATCAACCACAAGCATCTTTTCTTTCTAATCTTTAACTTGAAGGAAATCCCTCGCAGGGACAGAGAAAAAAGAAAAATTATTAATGGGTGGTCCTTGTTTTCTGCTTATTAGTACTAACTAGCAAAAGGTGCTCGCGCGATGCGGCGGGTTTTAAAATTGTGTTAAATATGTATAAAGCGATGAAAATAGACAAGGAGCAACGTTCTATTTATATATACATGACAATGTAAATAGTGCCATCGCGGTTAGTTTTCCAAGTTTTAGTTACAAAAGATAAATTAATAACATGTTTTATATGATGTTTAATATCTTAAAATATTGGGTATATTTTAATAGATCAAGCAGCTATAAAAACATCAAAATATGAGAAGTTTTGAGCTGTGCATTGTGCTGAGAGCGAACGAAATGTTCGAATTGAAAGAGATGCGAATGGGAAGGGGCAAAAAGGGAACATAAGGAAGAATTAAGTAAAGGGCAAAATCGATAATTCACTATTCCTAAGCTACAGTCTATGAACAGTCTAGGAACAGTGAGACTTCTGATCAGTTTTAGTATATATATAATATAATATAGCAGGGGCACAAACGGCATTTTACTGTTAAAATGAATAGTCTAAGAACAGTAACTTTTATTCAGTTTTAGTATATATATAATTTGCTGAAAAGTTTTTGTGATGTTTATAAAAGAAGGAAAAGGTTGACCGGTAAACCTCCAAGAACTTATCAACCTTTACTGGTTTATTTTATATGATGTTTAATATCTTAAAATATTGGGTATATTTTAATAGATCAAGCAGCTATAAAAACATCAAAATATGGAAGTTTTGAGCTGTGCATTGTTCAAAATAGCTTGTACAATTGTCAATTGACACTATTAGCTAATTCCTATGCTCTACTCACAAAACTTAAAACAATCAATTGGAATTTCAGCCTAGAAACTCACCTCCTGCTTAACATAACCGAAAACACCAACCAAACTGCTCTATCCAAAGCAACAAAAGACCACCTGCAAAATATCAAAAGAAAACATGGTTTAGAAAAAAGAGAAGAAAAAGGAAGAAAAACAGAAAAAATGGAGAAGAAATTAGCTTGGGTGTTTTATACATGCACAATCTTTTTATAAAACCAAAAAAATTAGCCTGAGCAAAATCTGCATGGAAAGACTCAAAGACTACCCATTAATGTGTTTTGGGCAAAGAAAAACAGTATAAAAACACAGGCAAAGGGCTGTTTAAATGATCCTAGATGCATTTGAAACAAAGAATATATGATCAAAAGTTACTGGTCTAAACAATCAAAAGTTACCTATGCAAAAGAATATATTTCTAGTTACAGGAAGACGACCATTGTGTACACGTATGAGACGTGTAAATTAGAATCAGACGTCGATGTTTGGGAACTAAACAAGTTTTAAAACAAAATTTAATTTTTTTGATGTTTGTTCGCTTGATTACAACAAAATATTTATGTACATTTTAAATAAACTAAAATAAACCTAAACATTGTTCATAAATATTTATGTACATCAATTATCCTTCGGTAATAAGTTGTTCACGAATTCTGCCCATTCATGCCTAACTTCG